TCAATACCACAAATTAAGAATGTTTCCACAATTTACTAATATGTTCTCTCATTTACATTCAATTGCGGTCATAAATTAAGAATTTTAATTAAACCAAAACAAGTGAATGGATAAGTACAATATGACTATGGTTTAATAAAACAAGTAAATGAATTAAGTCGTAGGAACAAATGAAGCTGTGGTTTACAGTGAATTTATAACAGCTAAGGGGGTTTTAGCTAACAACTCCCCTTAGCCGTTATAAATTCACTGTAAACCACAGCTTCTTGGGACTTACTGCTTTAATAAAGCGCATCAGCCCTACAGTGTGTTTCTCTCACCTGGAGCTGCGGTGGGACACGCCGTCCTCGACGCAGCACACGCTGGTCTTCTGGTCACCAACATCCACCACACACGCACTGCTCAGGCCGCTGCCAAACGTCGCACACACCGACTCCTGATGCACCACCACAGCTACAAACCGAACAGGAGATAAAGTTAGGCTGTTACACAGCGTTTGCCACTACTTTTGCACACAGCCCCCACTGTTGTTTTGTCTTTTAAACAATGATTTAGACTCCATATGGCAGGAGTTCACCATCATGTGAATAGAGTAAGGAGAGACGACTGACAAGACGATGGCAAACAATCTGGTATCAAAGCAAAACGCAAAAGGTTATAGTGTTTGTCTTCGTTTGTTTTATTGCTGTTGTGTTTTTATTAAAAAAACAATGGAAACACTTTAGTTTTGGGACCCATTCTCACTATTAACCAGTCGCTTATTAGCATGCATATTACTAGCGTATGGCCTGTTTATTAGTACTTATAAAACACATATTAATGTCTTATTCTGCATGACCATATTTTAGATCCCTTAATCCTTCCCCATACCTAAACGTAGCAACTACCTTACTAACTATTAAAAAGATGCAAATTAAGAGTTTATTGAGGGAAAGGTTGTAGTTTATAGTTCGTTAATAGTGAGTATTGGTGTGAACAAAATAATAATAAACCACAAACTAAGCATCCATTATAAAGTAAAGGAAAAAGCCAAAGATCTTTCATTTATTTGTGTTGCAACAGGGTTATATCACATATACAAAAAATTAT